ATGACATTTCCCAAAGAGTTTTGTGTGATGAATCCATTTAAGTGCCTGAAGAGTTTGTTCAAGACATCATCGGAAAATTTTCTCACAATGATGGCGTTGTTAACGCTGACGAGTGAGCTATTTCTCATGGCGATGCCTAGCAGAATCCCAGTTATAAAGGGTGACAAATGTAAGAGTGGAAATAAAAATGAATAAACGTTTTATTGCTCGACGGCGCGAGACACAATCCAAACTATTCCAAAGAACGTTTCACAGTTCTGTTGTGCGCTAGCTCAAGTGGGGAGAAGCTAAAACCCATGGTCATTGGTAAATCAGCTAGACCACGTGTGTGCGAGAACCTAAATCCTGAAAACCTTCCAGTCACCTGGAGATCAAACCGGTCTGTGTGTGGATGACTGCTGCCATGGGCGAGGTGTGGATCAGAAGTGTTGACAAAGAAATGATGAAGAAGAAACGCTTCATTATCCTGACAGTGGACAACTGTCCTAGTCATGTCCATGTAAAAAATCACAAATACTACACTTGTTACTGTCTGCAAACATGAACTCACAAATTCAGTGAGGAGAAGCTAAAACCCATGGTCATTGGTAAATCAGCTAGACCACGTGTGTGCGAGAACCTAAATCCTGAAAACCTTCCAGTCACCTGGAGATCAAACCGGTCTGTGTGTGGATGACTGCTGCCATGGTCGAGGTGTGGATCAGAAGTGTTGACAAAGAAATGAGGAAGAAGAAGCGCTTCATTATTCTAACAGTGGACAACTGTCCTAGTCATGTCCATGTAAAAAATCACAAATACTACACTTGTTACTGTCTGCAAACATGAACTCACAAATTCAGTGAGGAGAAGCTAAAACCCATGGTCATTGGTAAATCAGCTAGACCACGTGTATGCGAGAACCTAAATCCTGAAAACCTTCCAGTCACCTGGAGATCAAACCGGTCTGTGTGTGGATGACTGCTGCCATGGTTGAGGAGTGGATCAGAAGTGTTGACAAAGAAATGAGGAAGAAGAAGCGCTTCATTATTCTAACAGTGGACAACTGTCCTAGTCATGTCCATGTAAAAAATCACAAATACTACACTTGTTACTGTCTGCAAACATGAACTCACAAATTCAGTGAGGAGAAGCTAAAACCCATGGTCATTGGTAAATCAGCTAGACCACGTGTGTGCGAGAACCTAAATCCTGAAAACCTTCCAGTCACCTGGAGATCAAATCGGTCTGTGTGTGGATGACTGCTGCCATGGTTGAGGAGTGGATCAGAAGTGTTGACAAAGAAATGATGAAGAAGAAACGCTTCATTATCCTGACAGGGGACAACTGTCCTAGTCATGTCCATGTAAAAAATCACAAATACTACACTTGCTACTGTCTGCAAACATGAACTCACAAATTCAGTGAGGAGAAGCTAAAACCCATGGTCATTGGTAAATCAGCTAGACCACGTGTGTGCGAGAACCTAAATCCTGAAAACCTTCCAGTCACCTGGAGATCAAACCGGTCTGTGTGTGGATGACTGCTGCCATGGTCGAGGTGTGGATCAGAAGTGTTGACAAAGAAATGAGGAAGAAGAAGCGCTTCATTATTCTAACAGTGGACAACTGTCCTAGTTATGTCCATGTAAAAAATCACAAATACTACACTTGTTACTGTCTGCAAACATGAACTCACAAATTCAGTGAGGAGAAGCTAAAACCCATGGTCATTGGTAAATCAGCTAGACCACGTGTGTGCGAGAACCTAAATCATGAAAACCTTCCAGTCACCTGGAGATCAAATCGGTCTGTGTGTGGATGACTGCTGCCATGGTTGAGGAGTGGATCAGAAGTGTTGACAAAGAAATGAGGAAGAAGAAGCGCTTCATTATTCTAACAGTGGACAACTGTCCTAGTCATGTCCATGTAAAAAATCACAAATACTACACTTGCTACTGTCTGCAAACATGAACTCACAAATTCAGTGAGGAGAAGCTAAAACCCATGGTCATTGGTAAATCAGCTAGACCACGTGTGTGCGAGAACCTAAATCCTGAAAACCTTCCAGTCACCTGGAGATCAAACCGGTCTGTGTGTGGATGACTGCTGCCATGGTCGAGGTGTGGATCAGAAGTGTTGACAAAGAAATGAGGAAGAAGAAGCGCTTCATTATTCTAACAGTGGACAACTGTCCTAGTTATGTCCATGTAAAAAATCACAAATACTACACTTGTTACTGTCTGCAAACATGAACTCACAAATTCAGTGAGGAGAAGCTAAAACCCATGGACATTGGTAAATCAGCTAGACCACGTGTGTGCGAGAACCTAAATCCTGAAAACCTTCCAGTCACCTGGAGATCAAACCGGTCTGTGTGTGGATGACTGCTGCCATGGGCGAGGTGTGGATCAGAAGTGTTGACAAAGAAATGATGAAGAAGAAGCGCTTCATTATTCTAACAGTGGACAACTGTCCTAGTCATGTCCATGTAAAAAATCAAATACTACACTTGTTACTGTCTGCAATCATGAACTCACAAATTCAGTCACTGGACCAAGGGATCATCAAAATATTCAAAATGCACTACTGAGCCCAGCTGATGCAATGAACTATGGTAAAATTTCGTAATAATGATTCTCATGCGAAAGGAACCTCATCTGTCACTTCACAGTTATAATGCCTTGGATGTTGTGCTTTGGATAAGTTCCGCTTGGTTTAGAATTCAACCAGAAATAATACACATGTGTTACAGAAAAACCGCATTTGCTCAACCTCTCGAGCTTTATGTCGTCGACTTAATTGACATTCCATCGTCATTAACAGAATTCGACGGAATAGATTGTAAAGTGTTTGTTGAAATGTATGAATAAATGAATGGGTGAATACACCACACATCGTGACCTTCGAAGGATTACCAGTCTTTCATCTAAGTTCTAATTGCCATCTCTAAACAAATGATAATTCATGCTTTGCGCCGGAACAATTTGCTTTTTGCATTTATCATCCTATGGGTCTTGTAATGCTACTGCATTTTTCACATTACACTGCTGAACTAGAACAGTGTACAACCCACGCGAAGGTCCCCCAATGGGATCTCTACTTACGTGAACCGGCGCTCGAAACTTGCAGCTAATCTACCACTGGTGGAGCACTCGATCAGATTGCCTAGTTTGCAGTGTTGTGTAGTTGTTTCAGTTACTCATCAGTCTTGACAGCGCCATACCTAAGGGACTTGATGGGCCTTACCCTCTGATTCCAAAGCTGTTATCGACTATCGTCTCTTCTATTGTTATTGATCAGTTCAACATTTAACTATCCGAAGATTCATTACCGGCCACGATCTCACTATTTAACCTTATATAATTTCGTATAATAATTTTTTGCTGCATAGTAGCCGTTTGGTAGCTTACCGGAACGATGCCCATCCGTTACCGGTAGCTCAGCCGGCTTGCACCAGTTGCATTTTTTCTCTCTTTTTTCTATGTATCACGGCACAGTAGCTGAGGTGTTTCCAACCTCTAGCTAACGTGTATAATGATGATGTGATGATGAGTTGGAAGTGTTCGAGGGTTATGCGGATTCCGAATGACGATAGCCTTAGAAAGTCAGTCAACTACTAGCCGGTTTGCCTCGTACCTGCTTTGACCAGAGTACCGTGAAGAAGGGACTGTTGCAGCCGCTGTAGTCAAAAGGCCTGGCACACACAGCATGGTTTAAAAGCTGGCTGCTTATTCGGTACCAGCCTCTTTTTGGTGTAGAATGCTTGTTTACATGCAACTTTGCATGAGGAGTTTGTAGAGCTACTTTACCTTAACCACAGTAAAAGACTAGACAAGGTGAACCCTGAGGTCCTCCTTCACAGACTGAGTGTGTAATGCGCTTGGTTCGCTGTACCGATGGTTCCGCGAGTCTCTCGTTGGTCGAAAGTGGATGGTTTTTTGACCGACCCTCGACCCTTGGCGTACTCCAATGAACACTGCTTGGGACGAATTTTTACTGATCTACCTCAGGTCCTCCACTCTCCGTGTGCAATTTTCTCGTACGATACGGATATGTAGAGTAATTATTACTCCTGATGATTGTTGTCTACTTCATCACGATTTCTACCACCTCTTCATGTCGGTTGAATTAACCCGCCTCCCAGTCAAGTACCTATGTATGCGACTGGAAGGATGTTGATGGCTGAGTCTACACATTTAACTCGGCCGTTGCCATTTCACTGGGACGTCGTTTTTACTTTATCCGTCCAGAATTTAACAGTCTACCGGATATTATTGCTATATTCTTTGGTTATACTATTTCAAGGCCACTAGCGCTGTAGTGCGCTGATTTCTCATGCGTGCTTTGGATGCTGTGTGTAAATTTAACAACAGCGCGTTTATAACTATCGTCCCGATTGACGGACTGGGATCCGACACTTTAACTTTAACAGGAAGCAAGTGCCAACGTTTCACCTTTCCAACGGTTAATTACATATATATATATATATATATATATATATATATATATATATATATATATATATATATATATATATATATATATATACGGAACCGTATTCAGGTGATAAATGCTACCCATGCCAACTTTTTCATCGATAAATTCATTTTTTTGGCCATTTTAATCCATCCGCGATATTTATAGTAAAATACTGCAAATACTCCCTTTCTCATTCATAAAGCCCATGTTGACTTGACTTGCCTACTCTAACGCCGCCATTTGATGTCTGAGCAACACGAATAGGTTACACCGTAACGGATAGCACATACTTTGGGCACTCAAACTGCTTTTGTACTTCGCCTGTAGATTATTGCCCCTGACCTCTTATCCTCCATCATAAGTGCAATGCATGAGCATGGCTCGCCCTTTACTGTCGTACCATTCGCCAAGTTTCTTCCCAGCGAATCCTTAGCAGTCCACATTCTTTAGGTCACAGTGCACGTACAGTAATACCCTCTTGCTCACTGGGTCAGTATTCATGAAATGTGAACACATGCCATTTGTTTTCCTTCTAATCACCAGACCTTGCTTTAACTGCCCAACTCGGACGAGAGCTGCTCGATCGAAACAGTGCACTAGAGAAGGCCCTGGAAAAGTCCCAACGGGAAATAGATGAAAAGGACTTGGAGATCAAGGTGAGTTAGTGAGACGTTCTTGGGGGGGGGGGGTTGGCGTTTGTGATTGTGATTGTTCCCCTGTATATCTCTATCCTCCGATGAGTCCACTTTGCCTGAAGCTCATCTACGGGTTCGCGGCCTCATGTTTCGAAGCTAATGGCCATTTTGTCCGTACCATTTTGTCCGTGTGTACCAGTTGCTGCAGCAGTGTGCGAGGCGCAACCAATATCTACCGTCTCTCGCCCCATGCTCGTGCTCCGTTTCAGGAGCTTGCAACGAAACATGGACGCATCTTAGACCAGGACGTTCAAGCTGCTGCATTTGTGTCACTGGCATCAGTTTTCTTGCTCATATTCTTGTTATCCAAACTTGCTTTGCTCCTGACTGTGTTCATTCATTGCTGAATCTGCTGTGGCCTAACATTCGCTGACGTTCTTTGGATCAGTTACAATATGCACTATCAAAGCAAAACAAATTACACACTTGGAAACCCAGTTCAAGTGTCTGTGATGTTCTGAAATGACCGGCCCGTAGCCTAAATGTAACAAGGCTGTCTTATACTCTGACGGCGCGGGTTCGAGCCTGCGTAGGAGCAGGGTGACCCTCGCAGTATCCTTAGCCGGCGTACGACCGGTGGTGGTTGCGCCACAGCGAAGCGTCGGTACTGCATACCGGCATCCTGCTGATGCCTCTGTTTTCTCTCTACGCATTAGTAGCCCTGTGACACAATGTTGTCTGTGTTCATGGCCATAAGTAAAAGCAATTCGTTGTTCCAACTCCTTTACGACACAACTTCAACGCTGGTCTCTGTTATTACAGCAGTAGACGAGAATAATGATTGTCGAAGTCATGCTCAGGCAAAATCGATGTTGGAATTCAAGAAGTTCCTAGACGACCATTTTGTGGATTGCATATTTCTTGAGCGCATCGCACCTCAATTGAACGATGCACAACCATAATATGTTGAAAATGCGCATGAACGGGTGGCAAAATTCTCCGCATACACCCTATGTAATTACGACGGGACAACACAGGTGTAGATATACTCGCTCTCTGTAATCTTTAGTATTAAGTGAGGCTATGCGCTGCACCTAACCACCAGGTAAAGTGAGAGCCCAAGCGGTATCTTGATTAGTCATCGTAGCGGTTGATATCCACGCTTTTTTAGATAACCTAATTCTAAATGCTACTATCCCATCGCAATGAGGCTGGACCTTACCGTGGTGCGATGGTTTGTGTGCCTCAGCGATCCATTGAGCTACGCTGGGTGGTGCTTTTGCACCTTCAGAGTCACTCATACCAGATTGGTCAATGGTTAGAAGCCAGACAAACTCAGCCTCCTGGTCCTCCAGGTTGGGGGTTGGAATGAGGGTGGCTCCTTATTCCTTAAAACGGACTCATTGTAGCCCAACGCGAAACCCGCTGCCTTGCGGACAGGTTTTTGAACCAAAGGCTTTGGTTGAGAACCCTAATCGTTCTCCTGTCTAGGCCTGGACAACCTGACAGTATCCTGCCAATGCAATACAATGAATTTCTCTTCAAACAGTTTATCGATGCTCTGGTCACCGCAGAGGATAATCAACGGTGCCCTATCTGCTGCATCGAGCAGGGTGGATAGGGGTTTGGATGCTACTGCTCAAGTCTTCCCGTCTTCTTATTCCCCCTTCCTTATGGTCCCGTTCCAACTTCACTTTTTCCCCCCAGTTTTCAATCCACCGATTCTTGGCCCTCCCCCATCATCCTTTGCTAGCCGTTTATCTTCTATTTTCAACTCACATGCTAACGCGAGCGTCACTCCTGTCCTGTCCACAAGCCCATGTCTAACCAAGCGGTCTATTCCAGTTCATCGCCTTCCATTTGTAGCCCTCGATTCTTCTACAGATTGGCATGTCTCATTGTACGCACATTGCTACAGATTGGTCAACAGGCAGCACTTGCCCGAACCTTAGTGACCCTCTCGATCGATATCGGTTGTTTATCGGAGACCCGCCTGAAAGACTCGAGCTCTGTGCTCACTTTGCAATCCCCTTCAGGTGACACCAGCAGTATTTTCTCATTGCGCCTATCCGGTGACGATGCAGCTTCGAGCACCGGCCAAGGTGGTGTTGACATTGCCCTGAGTCCCCTGGCTGAAGCTGCTCTGGTTGATTAGATCCCAATCAGTAGTCGGATGTGTGCGGTCCGATTGGCTGGCTCGTTCAAAGCTTCGAAGTTGCGCGGGACTAACAGGTGTCTATACCTCATCGCTGCCTACGCGCCCACAAATTGTAGCAATGATACATTAAAGCGACTTATACCGCCAACTGAACGAGCTCCTTCGCCACAGAAGAAGCACGGACACTGTTGTGCTGGCTGGGGATTTGAACGCTCAAGTTGGAAATTTGTCCACTGATGAAATGCATCTGGGCGGTCAGCACGGTGTAGGCTCCCGTAATGATAACGGTGAGCGGTTACTTCATTTGCATGAAGATGCCCGCTTATTTCTTGCGAGCACTAACTTCCGACATAGCACTCGCCGGAGGGTGACTTGGCGCTCACCAGCCTCGAACCAGCTATGGACGCAAATCGATCACATTGCTATCGGTTACCGCTGGGGAGGCTGCGTTCAGAACTGTCGCTCGATTTGGAGCACAGGTGTGGACACCGACCATGCACTTGTATGTGCTGACCTACGGATGCGTTTTTGCAGGCGCCCACGATGACTTGAGCGCATTGACACCAGCCAACTGACAAAGCCAGCTGTTCTGAATGCGTATCAAAGTACGCCTACATGCGAGTTGAGTAAGCGCTCACTGAAGACCATTGTTGGTCACTGGTCGCATGTTCACCAAACCTTACTGGCAGCAGGCAAAACCTCATTTGGTAAGTCTAATAACCAACATGAACATTGGGTCTGTTCGCGGTCTCCGGAACTTATCGATGCTCGCCGGCATATTCCGGCTGGAAGCGAACACAATTAAATTCACAAAGAGCTCCGGGCAAAACTCCGTGCTAGCCTGAAGAGACCGCGAATCTTATTGGTCTCTTCGTGCGTTAGAGATGGAAGTTGTCGCTGCCCTAGGTAACCATCGCAAATTATTCCGTCCGATACGGGAACCGCGCAGCACGAGACCTGGGGTTAGTGAAACTGTACGTGTCGAGAGTGGACAGCCTATCCATAATTTGTCAAGACGTTTAGAGTGTTAGGCTAAGCATTTTGAAAAGCAATTTAATCCACGGGAATTGTTAGATTTCTCGCCGGCCACTGATCGTCCTGCTCCGTGGGCTCTCCCTTTGGATCCGCCCTGTCGCTCAGAAGTCGAACGTGAGATCGCACTGTTGAAATTAAATAAAGCCGCGGGAACAGTTGCTCTACCTCCAGCCCTCTTCAAATTCGGAGGGACCTGCTCTTGTTACATGAATTACTAGTGCAACTGTGGGTGCAGGAAACTGTCCCAACCGACTGGAGCCGATCCGTCATAGTCCCAATTTGCAAGGGAGGTTCACGATCGGAATACCGCAACCATAGAGGAATTAGTCTGAGCTCCATCGCCTCCAAATTTTTTTACCTCCGTAATCCTTCACACATTGACTGGCGCTCGTGAAAGCCAGATCCGTGAGGAACAAGCCGGGTTTCGTCGAGGTCTTGGCTGCACTGACAACTTCTTCATTTTGGCTCAGTTGTTGGAGCACCGTCACACATATTGGTGGTCCACCGTTGTCGTGTTTCTTGACATAAAAGGTGCCTTCGACTCTGTCGATCGATGTGCCCTTTGGGGCTGTCTGCTGAGGAAAGGTGTGCCTGATAAAAATGTAAACATTATCATAACGCTGTACGCGTATAGTTCGGGCAGGATGAGGGTTTATGGCAAACTTTCGCCACCCTTCAGTATCACCAGCGGTGGGAGACAAGGATGCCCGCTGTCGCCTTTCCTCTTCAACTTCGCTATTGATAGAGTCCTAGAAACAGCGTTCGCTGGACACGACCTAGGTGTGGAGCTACTTTCTGGTGAGCGACTTCTTGACTTGGAGTATGCTGACGATGTTGCCCTCATCTGTGACAGTTTCTAGACGTGCCAAGCTGCACTAAACCGATTAGCACTGGCTGCCAGCCACTTTGGGCTTCACTTTGCACTATCGAATTGCAAAGCGTTCCTCCAAGCTTGGCCTGAACCGCCTCCTTCGCTGACCGTTGGTGTGGATCAGCTAGAAGTCGTTCAAAAATTCAACTACCTGGGAACTTGTATCAGCACCTTTGGGATTGAGTCACTGAAACAGAGTAACTAATCGATAAGTCTACGTGTTTGGTCTGATTGGTCAAGTGAAGTGGCGTGACTGCCATTGTTAGTCGCGTTGATCTCAGGCCAAGGCAAGGCTAAAGTGTGGACGAGCTTTTTCTGTGCACATAGGTCCGGGTTATGGAGCCGAATTGCGATCGCCTCTGCTGTCGACAGCAGGCGACATCTGACTGCCCGTGTGAAACGTCCGGGGACACAGTAAATCGGTGTGAATGCGTCACGCGAATCGATTTGATGATCGGAGTCAACTAGGTGCGACAATACTGCACTCGTTACATTCTTCCTCACGCCGCTGTAGAGCCAAGCTGGGCAATGCTCTCGAGCCCTAACGGACAGTCGCCTGGTCGTTTTCCCAATATACCTTGCTCGACACGAGCAAGAGAAATTGTACACACAGAAGGAGGTCTGCGACCGAGGTATCCTGTCTTTAAGTTGTTGGCACACAAGCGGTGTTGAAGTGAAGCTTACGCGGAGATTAGCGGCAAAATACGTTCTTTATGTTGCCAAGGAAAGTCTTCAGGTGGTCCGTTCCGCTATCGCGTCACCCTTAAATGGCAACGATAAGTATACCATCCGCTTCTCCACTGAAACGGGTTTGGGCTTTTGTACTCGTGGTTCCATGTGCCTCTGGATGAATTTCTCAGGGTACCCATTGCGCTCGAGTACGTTTCGTATAAAACTCAGCTCATCTGAAAGCGTATCATCTGTACATATTCTCCTCGCTCTCTCCGTTAGGCAACG